ACTCTGAAAATATTTAATAGGTGGTGTTAATTTAATTAAATAAACTATTAATTGTTTATTAAGTGATTTTTAATAAAATTAATCAAATTTTAGGCAATTAAAATTATTTAATTATATTAGTGTTATTTTAATTATATATATAGGTGTTAATTCAACTTTAATTAAGTAAATTTATTATTTGTTAATTAAAAAATAAAATATTGTTTAAAATAATATATTAGGTTGTTGATAGAGAAAATTAGTTTACAATTATATTATATAAATATTTCATAAAATAATAATTAATTATTAATTTAATTTATTTTTTTGTTAATTAAGTTTATTTAGTTGTTGATTAAGTCAATTACTTAATAAGTAAATTTAATAATTTATGTTTAAAATAAAATTTTAAGCATAAGTTTAATTAATTATGTGTTTAATAATTTCTATTTAGTTGGTTATTAAATGAAGTGTGAATATTGTTTGTACTTAAGTAATTTAATTGGTCTTACAATATTTAATAGGTGGTGTTAGTTTAATTAATTAAGTCTGTTAATTGTTTATTAAGTGATTTTTAATCAAATTAATTCAATTTAAGCAAATTAAATTATTTAATTATATTAGTGTTATTTTAATTATATATATATATATATGTTAATTCAAATTTAATTAAGTAAATTTATTATTGTTAATTAAAAAAATACAATATTGTTTAAAATAATATATTAGGTTGTTAATTGAGAAAATTAGTTTACAATTATATTATATAAATGTTGTGTAAAATATATAATTAATTATTACTTTTATTTATTTGTTTGTTAATTAAGTTTATTTAGTTATTGATTAAGTCAATTACTTAATAAGTAAATTTAATCATTTGTGTTTAAAATAAATTTCTTAGAGTAAGTTTAATTAATTATGTGTTTAATAATTTTTATTTTGTTGGTTATTAACCTAAGTGCGAATATTGTTTGTATTTAAATAATTTAATTGGTCTTATAATATTTAATAGGTGTTGTTAGCTTAATTAAATGATTTATTAATTTTTTATTAAGTTCTTTTTAATAAAATTAATTAAATTTAGGCAAATTAAATTATTTAATTATATTTGTGCTAGTTTAATTATATATATATAGGTGTCAATTCAAATTTAATTAAGTAAATTTATTAGTTGTTAATTAAAAAAAATTTTAAAAAAATAATATATTAGGTTGTTAATTAAGAAAATTAGTTTACAGTTATATTATATAAATATTGAATAATATATATAATTAATTATTACTTTAATTTATTTATTTGTTAATTAAGTTTATTTAGTTGTTGATTAAGTCAATTACTTAATAAGTAATTTTAATGATTTGTGTTTAAATTAATTTTTTAAGAGTTAGTTTAATTAATTATATGTTTAATAATTTTTATTCAGTTGGTTATTAAATTAAGAGCAATTTTTTGTATTTAAATAATTTAATTAGTCTTATAATATTTAATAGATGGTGTTTCTTGGGAGCAATATGTAATGATGAGGCAAATGCAATAGATGTTATTGAATATGAAGCAAGACGGTTTATCCACTGAGCCTTCAACCGATGATTCCACCCAACCTTCGATTGACGACCTTATTGATTGTTCATAGCTTTTATGTTTTCTTTTTTATGTAATAATAACAAACTTTAAACTTTATCCTTAATTATGTATTTTAATATATATTTAATTTTATATATTATAATAATTTTGTAATATATATTTTTAGTTTTTAAACTAGAGTAGATTAATTTAAAACAATTAAAATTCGGGTAAAAAAATTTTTAAGAAAATTAACGACAATTTAAATATACAATGTTAGCGACCAATTTGAAAAACTCGTCTCTAATTTTTTAAAGTTTAGATACGATTTTTCTTAAAAATTTGTGACGGTTTTAATTAAATTAGCGAAAAAAAATTTCATAGCTAAATTAGCAATGGACTTAACAAACCGTCAATAAAAATTAGCGATAAGCATTTTGTCGAGGGTTTTCAAACTATAGCAAAACCGTCACTAATTTTATTTACCGACGGTTTTTTAAGAATTAGCAACGGTCTAGACGGTCACTAATTCATCGTTTTTTTGTAGTATAGCTGATATCTTCACTAAACTCTTGTCCATCTCTCATTTTTAGTTTTTCACAGGCAAGCTTCATGATAGAGATGCCCAAGAAATTGTAGAGGGACGTTAGGATTGTTAGTATTGATTAGTGTTAGAACTATTAGTAGTAAGTAGGATTGTTAGCTTTACTCAATCTTCTTTTGTTATCAAACACTTTATATTTATTTTGTAAAATTATAGGTCTTTATCACAAATATATATCTTGGTATAAATACGTTTTACATCAAGATTAATATAGACGTGAGTTTTCCAATACTCCACAGTTTCCGCCTCCCCCTTTCTTGTTATTATCCACACCCGCGTTCAACTCTTCATCTTCAAGAGATGCCCAAGAAATTGTAGAGGAACGTTAGGATTGTTAGTATTGATTAGTGTTAGAACTATTAGTAGTAAGTAGGATTGTTAGCTTTACTCAATCTTCTTTTGTTATCAAACACTTTATATTTATTTTGTAAAATTATAGGTCTTTATCACAAATATATATCTTGGTATAAATACGTTTTACATCAAGATTAATATAGACGTGAGTTTTCCAATACTCCACAGTTTCCGCCTCCCCCTTTCTTGTTATTATCCACACCCGCGTTCAACTCTTCATCTTCAAACCCTCTCTCTTTTACACCATCGCGGTGCTAGTGCCAGAGGCTCCCTGCCACTGCCGCTTGACTGTATCGTGTATTCCTTTGCATGTTTTTTTTTTTTTTGAATCCTTATAGACGATGCCAAATGTCATCACCTAGAGACAAGTTGGACTTGGATTGTACCTTGATTTGGACCGCTGCATAAAAGATTAAGGTTTGATCGAGGGTTGGAGTCCGATCGGGGCAAACGATATGAGCAAATCAATCACTTTAATAATAATAAAATAATGATATTACTTGAGAATTGAGTCAAACTTTTGTATCTTTATCCTTTTATATCTATGTTATTTGTGTCCTTATTTAGACTCCAAACATGATATTGTACTCTTCTTATACTTTAAAATATCATATTTGTTGTGTTATATTTTGATATGCATGTATGGCATACCACTATCCATATTAGGGCAAACTCAACTCTAAGTCCAGATATGATGTGAATGTCAAAAACTTAAAGTATCAATTATATGATCAGTAATAAACCATTTTGCAATACATGTAGATTTACGAATGAAGGACATAAATTGGACCATGCATGTGACTGTACCTAAGTGATAAGATCCCATTCTCTCTTTTCTCTGTGAATCATACATTAAGGTCAGGAAATGTTTCTGTCTTGCTACACTAGAAGACATGTGTTTTAAATGAGAATTCAGACTTATCCCCCGCAAAGAACAAAAATTGAGGGCTAAGAATCAATGCATAAAGTAAAATGCATCGATCCCACAAAACTTTTTACTTCTTAGCAGCCTTTTCTTCTAAACAACGAAAGCTCATTCACCTTTTCCAATACCCATTAGCTACCACCTTCGTTCAATGTCAACCTTCCATTCTTTTTACGGAGAATATTAAGCTACAGACCCAAAAATGGATGTGGTGCGCCTGCGTTTGTGATACTGGACCCCTAGCGCAATTTTACATGATGAAACAACTAATTATGGATTCAATAAAAAATTCTATGATGACTTTGATAAGGAATCATTTACAGATTTTAATTAGTTCATTACGAATATTAACATAATTATTTAATTTATATTGTCTGTATGACATTTTCGATCTCTTGCAACTTCAAGAGATCCATTATGCTCAGACAAAAAGGTTCTCTGCATTGTTACCCTTGATGCACACAACTTTCGTTCTCTCGCATGATTTTGCTCACATAATAAGACGATTGACCCCTATAAACAAATATGAGTAATTACTTAATTTTTTAAAAGATTTTGCTGCCCTTTCTGGTATATTATATATACATACTCAGATTATCTTCATTAAGGGCCCTCTCGAGAGGATCAGAGTTTTTTTTTTTTTTTCCTCTCGTAATTAACATTGAAATTGATCAATTGAACACCTAAATCTAATTAGTGAAAAATTAATGAGAGTTAGAGCATGGCAATTAATGAATCATTAACTTATTGGTGGGTCAGAGGAATATAAGTTGTTTGGAAAGAGATGAAACCTGAAGGTTAAAACATCACATCTAATTAACATTGTTAATTTCTTTCTGGTATATCACAACCATTGCAGAACGTAAGCTACGAAATAAAAAGTAGCTAGATCCGATGAAACCTATATCTAGCTAAAACAATCCTATTGTGCATGGTTTTCCAACAGGCATTGTTGTAGAGGTCCCAAATAGGCCTTACAATAACTTGATATTGTTGGACATCCGAAGGCCCCTGTGTTTTCCTTTTCTTGGCAAAAAGGTAAAAGCCATGCATGCAACCATGCATATCGGATTAATGCAGAGTAATCTGCTGGAAGAAATACTCTGGCCAATCAAAAATAGATTGAGATTTCCCATGCAAATCCAGAGAATCAGGTTAAAAAGAAAGAAGTTGTTCAAAAGGTTAAAAGAATGAAAATGCACCGTTATCTATATATTTCACATTTTCACTCTTTCAGACAGAAACGTTCACATGCCAGACACTTACCAACATATCTGGGCTCTCAAATCCCTTAATCACCCTCGTTACATTTTCATTTCTGTTTGAAAAAACACTTTTAACCCTTATAACTTCTGTTACCCAAAAAATAAAAATAAAAAAGCATTACCACTTACAAATTACAAGTCAGCAGTTATATATATGTGCCCAAGAGGAACCAAACACAAGTACTACACTGAAGGAACATTGAAAAACCTAGGAAGAAGACCAGAAACTACATTACAAGAGAGAAAAGTGAGTGGCATTATGGTGATTTTGTTCCACATCGATGGGCATTTTGGATAGATAATGACTTGATCAACATAGGGCAGCTTCTTCGTCAATTATTCTAAGCATGTGGTGGACTGCTCCAGCTATGTCATCTACTGAAGTGAGTTGGCATCCTTCTTCAAGCTGCATTAAGAATGTTTAAATTTTAGTCCAAAACTGATTCATTTTCTGTAATTCTAGGCAACAAGACATTTATTTCTAAACTTAGAAAACACCAAAAATACTGGAAAGTATCCTCATTCCATATGACAATAATTGAAGACGCTTGCTTATGAAATGGCTACAGATTTCCTCAGCATCAATTTCATTATTGTGGTGTCATTTGTTAGGATTATATATATAGTAGTTGCATAATTATTGTGCTAGTTCACGCTTTCAGAATGAAATACATGACCCATAATGATGTAACCTGTCCAGCAACATTTAATCAATGAAGTGACTGCATTTTTCTAATTATGAGCTAAAATCTCATCAGAATTAAAATATTATTGATAGAGATGGCACCCAAAGTACTGACATAAAGAATATATAATAGTAGGGTTCGGATTTTCTTTTTCTTTTATATATCAATTTTTTTCCCCTTTTATATGTGTCTTTGTGAGTGAAAAATGTAAGTGTGGAATATTGTGCAAACAATAGTACAAGATATATTAATCGTACATACCTTGACACTAATTGAGTAGAGAACCAATGGGTCCATGGTGGTCACACTGATGTGAAGGACAGTGAGGTGAAGTGTTAGAAATCCAGCAACTAACTTTGAAAGTTGTCTAGGGCTTCTTCTTGAGAAAATCCGCAGATTTGCGTGGCTTTCAATCAAAGTGACTTCAATATCGGCTATGGATGCTTTAGTCTTTGACGTAAACTTGTTAGGAATTTGAGACCAAGTGTATTGAGGATGCACAAAAAATTGTGCAAAGGGTGGTGGTGGAAACTCTGAGGTTGTAGTAACATCTTCAATGCTATAATTTGGTCCTGTTAATCCTTGCTGTAGTTTGAGCTTTTCAGCTTCAAGGGATTGCAGAAGGTGCTCTAACTCCTTCACGAACTCTATGGCACCACCTACTATAGAAGCCTGGTCACCCTGCACTTTAAGAAAGTTTTTAAAAAATAACGTGATTAGCACATGCAGCTGGTAGGAAGGAATTTAATCAATAATAATCATCATGCATATGATGACAGAGATAGTTGAAAAGTTAATTATAGCCTTGAATATCAAATTAATTGAGATTAATCACCAGCAGCACCAACCATGAACCCTTGCTCTATAGGGTCTAATATTGCTTATTCTGACGAGAAAATAAAGGAATTATGTGAGTCGTGGGGCCAATATTTTCAGCTATAGCCTACAAGTGACTCCTGGGTTCTGAGTGCTGCATTACGTTCTCTTTCATCCGATTATTCTCAAAGTTTCAAAAAACATCCGATTGTTCCTTAAATTAACATCTAAACTAAAATTCGCCTAACAATTGCTACTTTGTTTCGAAATGTATACAGACTGGAAGCTGATAAAGTTTTTCCCACTGATCAAGCCACGACTATATATTTTAGCTGACAAACTACTTTCCCTTACTCCCTTTTCAAAATAAGCACTATACATGCATGTTTGACTGTTCATGCGTCCGCTACGAGACTTACCAGATTTCGAGTACAAAAAGTTTGCAAATACTATAATCAGTATAACTTCATCATGAATGATCACTAATTTGCTAATGTAGCTGCCATTGTATATAGGAAAAGAGCAAGAGAACGGATAAACAAACCCTTTGAACATAAGATTCAGGCATGAGAGATCTCAAAACGGCAAGATGCTCATTCATCAGTTTCCTCCGATTCCTCTCAACAGCAATGTGTGTCATCCTTTGTGTCTCGGCTTCTTCCTTGTTCTTACAAACTCTTGGCTTTCTTCTTCTTTTCTTCTTCCCTTGCACAGCTAATAAGTTCTGCCTCCTATCGATGGCTTCTCGTCCCATCGGGCATCTTTGTTGAGTCATTAGTGAAGTGCTATTTACAGAAACACCATGGCCTTGAGGTTTCAAATTCTCTAACAAGAAACTTGCCGTCTCTAGGGAGTCATGGCTGCTATACGGGGTTGCAGAGATAGTGTCATAGATTATGAAGTTCAGGAACTCATTAGAGGATAGTGCTTCTAGTGCCATTTCCCCCTTTGAACTGTCAGCTAAATTTAACTATCTTCACCTCTCTAAATGCAACTCAAATAACACAATGTTGCATTTCAATGACAACCATCACTTAACTCTGAAAACTTTTTTATATGGCAGTGTAGTGTGTGTTTTAAACTGCACACCGTGGAAGTGGTAAATTGTTGGGTTTTTTGAGAGGGTAAGTTTATGTTGGGACTTGGGAGGGTAATTTAGAGAAAGAGAAAGATACGGTGCACGTGAGAGGGGCAGAAAAAAGTTGTTTCGCCTTTCTGGTTGCAAAAAGTGAGGGAAAAAGAGAGAGGTCTTTCTTTCATCTTTGTTTTGGTAACCTTCCCGATATTCATAGGTGCCATCAACACTGCTGGCAAAGTTTCTGCACAGGAGAGAGAAGAGAGGTGGGGGACCCAAATCTATATAGAAATATGCATACAAACAACACAAGCAGCTGTGTAAAAGCTACTCCTCACATTCAAATCTGTGTTGGATTTTGCAGGAAATGACTGGCTCACGTACCGTAGATTCTCTCATGTGAATGCATTAGGGTTTTTACTTGTGCGCTTCGCAACCCATGCCATGCCATACCATGCGTGCCACCCTAGGTTTGTCTCTAGCGTGCATAATGATAATCTCTGTTATCTGGGCCGTTCATCATGCGGTTTGCCAAATCCAATGGCTGGATATGTTATAACGAGTATTATATGTGAAAACATCATGCCTTGATCACGATGTTGCTGTTAAAATGGTAATAGAACACTAACCACCATGAGCGTCACACACAACGGCGGTCATTAACAGCTTGTTAATGGTCAATACTTGAGCTAGCAAGCTCGGTTACTACCTACAGCTAGTTCTCAATCCTGCCAATAAAGAGCCACATTTGAATCCAGTCCTTTTTGGTATTTTCTCCTAATACTATCGGCATTCTACACTCTCTGTATACGAACAAACTAGTTGGACTAAAGAATTTTTTCTTTTTTCCTTCTTTTTCGTTTTTTGGGCGTTAATATAGCCTCATCTCGAGTTGATGCTTGATGTACGAGAAAGCATGTGCTAGCTTCTGTAGGATCATTAGACGGTGCTTCTTCGCATTCAAATTCAGTCCACTCTCACCAGTAAGCGCCCTTAGATATCCAACGGATATAGTGTTGAGGTCGCAGTTCTTTCATACCAAAAGTTATATTCTACCTGTACTACTGCAGTCACTCAACTAATTAATTATTGTAACACAAAATTCCCCCATCAATAATTGAGTGAAACGCTAGAAAATACAAACACATTTTGGCGAAACTCTAACAATCTATAACAAACGCTTCCATGGCTATTGTGGTATCACAATTCACGACTAAAAGATGCACTTTTTTCAGTCAAATATTGTAAGTTCAAAACTAACTGTGCCTTGAGCCATGCCATAGTATATATAGATCCCTCATCTTCCAAAGCCAAACTCACCTATCGATTTATTTTACGCCAACCTGGTTTAATTATTGAACTGCCTCTCTAGGAACCACAAATGCAGTCAGCATGTACAACAGCCACAACTTAGATTTGCATATTTCAGCAATTATACGCATTCTGACGCAAGTTGAGATGCCCGTGTCGCAATGCATCCAAACACATCCATTGCAAATCAACCTGTCCTACGCATCAAATAAAATCTCCGCTCGTAACTAACTTTATTAGTAAACTCTAAGGCCTACTTTCTGGCGATTCAGTAGTTTGAACCTTGAAGACGTGTCACTGGGCAAGTACATCTATTTGCATCTCTATATCTTCCAGCACATATAGTTTGCTTGGTCTGTCTTACAAATGTACAAATATTGATCCATGTAGAAATATATATACAAGGTGAGAAGATAATGTATATATCTGAAAGCAATTACAAACAGTGGGAACTGTAGCCTTATCTGATGATGAGGACTGATGTTTGGGTTGTCTGACCTAGGACCATGGTCCAAGCTGTCAGGGTCTGCAGAGAATCCATGTGACTATCAACTTCCAAAGTGCACGTAGCAATCGTCCAAATTTAACTTTCAGCTCCGTTTTCATCTACCATTTCCCCCTAATGCTTATTGGCTATAATGTTTTTTAAGTTTTTCCTCTCATGTCATACTGTTCATTATTTACACGATTCAAGGTAAGAATCTACATTTCCATGCAGAAAAGGGGTTATAAAAAAAAAAAAAAAAGAACATGTCATCATCACAGTATGAGTGTATGCTTTGTCTATCAAAAAAAAAAAAAAAAACATATGGCTATAGGCAAATGATTGACACGTAGCAACTTATGCGTTACGGCGTGTCAATGGCAGTGCTTAGTCTTATTTGCCACCTTAATGGCACATGTGATGTTGGCAGTGGTACTTACTAGCAATATACTTAGCATATACATAACACATAATAAAAAAAAAAAAAAAAAAAGGAAGAAGAAAATTAGTAAGAAAATTAGATGGTATCAATTGCAATTTTGGCGTACAACTGAGAATTGGGTCTAGCTGCGAAATGCTCTGCAGTAACCTTAAACCAAAATCTCTTTTCTATACAGAAACAAAGCCAATCTACCAAAATTTCAATTTAACACCATAAAAATCAGCAATGCCAGTTATGATAGATAGACAATAAGCATATGCAACCAAGATGAGTAGGGCTGAGAGTGATGGGGTAAACAGAGTATCCACATACAAGTTTACCAGCCCAGTAAGCAAGTTTGCCTGCAATGTAAAAAGAGGAAAACACAGCAAATCATTCATGCAAGCTCGTCTAGGAGTGAGTGGGTGGGAAGATTGAAGTGAAAGCCTTTCAGAACGTCAAATTCAGTACATAATCTTTTGTTTACCAGAAGAAATGAGGCCAACAGATTCCGGTTAAATGCTTCTTCAAGTGATGAAATTTTACTTCCAGCAGTGAAATCAGAAAGCATTAGTATAGCTAACACCTGAAGAACAAGAAAAACTTCAGCTGGTTTTAAAAAGAATAGAATAGAACAGCACCCACTGTAGTGCCAATTAACTTAAAGTCTTGTTGCATCACAGCATAGACATAAGCTAAAACCCCATGGATTGGGAGATTAAGGAACTTGGAGAGGCAAGCGAAGTTGTGGAGCCGCATCAAATAATAACAACAAACAAAAAAATGAATGATAGTTCTTTTAACCAGACAACACATCATCCTTTCTGCAAACAATTCTTCAAATTACATCATGAAACCTAAACTAACAATTACGTAAATTACCGTGCACTGAATTTTAAATATAGTTAAAACAGGAAGAATATGGGAATCACCTGAAGGTTTTCAGCCACCACCAGGGTAACATAAGCCAAATTGCACTGCAAAATGAGTTTTTATGGGTTTTCATTAGCAATGATACTAAAACACTTCCACACATTAGTTAATCAAACAGAGCACCACCACATCCTACCATCCTACGTGAAACAGTTTCGACATGCCTGTCTAGAAGAACAGTTACTAACCTGCAATACAATTGCAAATGGGAATAAGTTGAAACCTTCAGAATAATCAATTTTATATGAATGAATTAAAAAAAAAATCGCCACAGAAGACCATACCAAAACATCAGGGAAATAAATGAGACCCTGACCCTTGCCCACTTATTGGTTCTCAATGTTGTAGAGGAACGATTTCCAAATAAAAGATAGTAACCCAATTGGACGCCAACAAGGTACAAACCCCAATACCCTGAGAATGATAATAAGTTAAAATTGAAAATGTCTCTGATCAGAAATAGCAACAGTGAAACTACACTAATTGCATATGCTGCTTGGTAGATAATAACCATCTTTGTCTTTGGATGTAACAGAAATGAGTAAGCAGAAACACTATCGTCCCCCCTACTACATTTTTGTTCTTCAAGTCTAATTAATAATATTACCAACTAGAGAGGATGATACAGGGGCTCTATCAACTATTTAGATAGTTTAATAGGCATATCATACTGGAAAAGCATGCATTTTTCACAATCTGCAGATCAGAGGTATGTTTTAGTTCTACACAGTGGTATTACGAGAAATCCTCTCCCCCTCCACCTCCTTTTTAGCCCATGTTAATATTGAAAAGTCAATTTGCAACCTATCTTAGTTTATTGAAAAGTCAATTTGCAACCTATCTTAGTTTTGTTCAATTGTCCCCAAAATTTCAAATGTGTGCCAAGTTACCCCAATTGAAGACTAATTCCAATTTAAGATCACATGCAAGACATGTGAATTCAATTTACAATACCTCTTTTCCTCACTTTTCAACATCTTTTATCAGTTGATTTATTTTTGAATTAAAGGCATGTCATCAGTTAGGGGGAGTGCTGACCCAAATTTAAGCAATTTTGGATGCATTTGACCAAATTTGGAATATGGGTTGTGAATTGACTTTTTCATACGAATAAATGTGCAAAAAAAAAAAAATAAATAAAGAAGAGAGGGGGGTGGGTGGGTGGGTGGGGGGGGGGGTGGGTGGGTGGGTGGGGGGCCGGGGCGGGGTGGGGTGGTCCTGATGGTTTTAAAAGTACAAACATTCAAGTGCTTACAAGCCAAAATTTAGCAGATCAAAAGCCGTGAATGAAATAAGTGGCATAACCAGAGTTGTAAAGGCAGCTTATAATTCCTAAAACAAACAGTTATTGCACTACAACATAAAGGACCTCAGAGGAAATTATGCATTAACAAATTGGATAAATTAAAAAAGCATTATGGTGCTACAAGCATTCCTTTCAATAACATAAACCATTAAATGATCAGTTCAGATGAAATTATCCTTACCAAGAATACTAAATACTCCCTCCTTATTTTTGCTCAAGATGTCTGTTCCCCTTTCGTCAGAAAGGAGGTATACATTTAATCCATGACTCAGCCAGTATTGAAAACCTGAAGAATCAAAGTTAACTAAGTCAACAAGGCTGATCAAAGATCTTAAGCAAAACCATTTATAATGCCTATCCCGGAAGGAATTATACCAATAAGAATTGCTACACCAAGAATTCCTGAATATTGCGGTGGGATGTTAATTATGGATGTAAGGATTGATACAGCAGCTAGAGTGAAAAAGAAATTCCAGTGTACTCCATATTCCCCTGTATGAACCTGCATAAAAATAAATAAATAAGACAGCTAGTTTGTAATAAAATAATAACATGACAAGAGATGAACCTTTTGAAAAGTAATTTAAAGCATGAAATACGATATTATATCAAGTGAACAAGATAACAAAGCTGTGTTATTACTTACATCTACTTCTGAAATCCTATATTTCAGCAGGACATTCAACATGAGGCCATGCCTATAAAATTAGAGCTTTGTTTTCTTTCTATACAATTCAATTTTACCAACATTGATCTCCCCTGTGACTAACAAGAATTGAGCAGCATGTGAAACACGCATATAACAACCAAATTTGATTTATTGTTCCCTTCTAGCGGATAAATGGAAATATAAGGGAGTAGAAATTTGTCATAAAACATCCCATACCACTACAAATAGAAGTCCATTAGATCTAATATCTCTATGATCTAGGAAGAATTACACATTTTTGTATAGTGTTGATATGTGAAAGGCTTGAAAATGTAACATGGTAAGTTTGTTCAAGTTAAGATCTATTAATTGGATTTTTTATACACAAGACATATCAAAGCAGGGCTACTGCAAAGGTACTTGTGAGGAGGTCATGACCCCTCACTCGATGCAGTAATTCATCCACCCTCCACCTCTGTCAAAGGATATTAGGGAAGAATTTTGATAATCCATGTGCTATCTTTTCATTTTCAATTTGAGCTATAGTTTTAAAGTGAGCTGAGGTTAATTATGTGCATAGCTTTCTCTTTATCAGCAGTGACTGAGTGCCTGAGATAACCAGTCCACCACCATACAAAGCATTTGAGCTAAGGATGGAAGAACAAAAGTAATCAGAATGTCTTTAGTGAAATAATGCAAGCATGATATGTTCAATTAGCAAGCAGTATTCCTAGATCTATGAGATAACCAAATATAATGTACCTGATAGTCTACACTTCTTGTAGTAAGAAGCCGAAAAAACCCTAGCAGTAGCAGAGGACTGGTGGATTGGACTGCAGCCTTCCAATTTCTTTAAAAAAATAAATAAATAAATAATGTTCATTATCGAAGAATGAAACAAGAACAAGAAAGTAAAGATGTGATTTTTAAAACAAGTTCGAGTATATATCAGCATACAAAAGGACATTTGAACAATAAGGAATGAAAATGTTAATGATATAAACAGATTTAAAAATAAAAATAAAAAAATTAAAGCTTCACACACAGAAGCCAGGCAATGAAAGATGGGTAACTATTAAAATTTCATAATCACACCAACCAGCCAATAGCGATTTGTTATATCTACTAATAAAAGAAATGCCAATCCTACCATAAATCCATCCATATCTCTTGATTGCTTTTAAGCACTATCAAATAGGGAAACCTTCACAGTATAACTCCCTGGCATAAGTAGAAAACAAGAGAAGAGAATACAAGGATCTAGCATAACATAAAACTCCCATGGCATTACACTTCGAAAATGATGCATGAGAAATCACAATAAGCTTTCAATGATAGCACGCAAGACCACCAAAAGAAGCTAACATACTTTTTCATTCTTCGTCACCTTGACAGCATAAAACCTTGGCAGCAGAGTAAACATGGAGCGTTCCCAAAAATAAAATTGAAAAAAAAAAAAAAAGGAAAGAAGAAAAGTAAACATGGAGACTCAAGATCACTCTAAATTCAAGCAAGACTTAAGATAGGGCAGCAGGAACCAATGAATTTGACCAAACCATCAACTAGACCAACCAAACAATTCATTACAAAATACTCTGGACTTAGAACTTATAAGAATGCCATTATAATAGTAAGTCTCCAGAACTTTAAAGCCGCGAGTTGAACCCCTACTTAAAAGAGGTTTGGTTTTTATAATTTTCTTTTCTTTAAATACTCTCTTCCATTGGCCTTTCAATATATCTATATCAACTTTTTATATTGACATCTTGGAAGTTGAGTAGAATTTATCACTAGGAAGATGGGCAATTAAGGACAAATAAGGAGCTGCTAGCTGTAAATTGCTAGCAGCCTAGAGAGTCTTGCTCCTATTCTATGACAACCATCAAAAACAGCAGATGGTTGATCAGTGATCAATCGTTTTTTATCTAAATTATTCTTCAATTCCACTATTAGCTCTGAAACTACATGGCCTTTCGCTTTCCTTTTTTAACAATTTATGATTATGGGTCTGGGTTGGTACTTGATAGATAAAAGTGAAAGAGGAAAGAAGCACCAATCACTTTTAATAAATTGTTAAGTGTGGAAAAATACAACAAATTTATATTGTTAAGCCAATGCCAACAAGTAAAGCACTTTAAGGCATCAAAAGACTCACACTGATGAGACACTTCGTGCTTGCCGTGAAACTAATGCGTTTGCAAGAATAAAGGAGCCCACCCCAAGATCCATCTGATACAATCACAGAAATGAAAATTTGAGTGCTAACCAGCACAATGAAATTTCAAAAGGGACAAGAGAAAGTCTAGTGCTTCTTGGTAACAGTATAACCATCCACCAAATACATGAAATATAACCTAAAAGTTCTAAACTCAGAATACAGCTGCTAATCTTGATGCCAAAAACTCTTCACAACGATAATTTGATGTAGTAAAGAATTTGAGATGATCACTTTAAAGCCAATTTAGCCTAAAGACTTCCCCAAAATGCATACGAGGCATCCTAGTTTGGTTTTTTTTTTTTTTTTTTTTTTGGTGTTAGTTATGGTTAGGTTTGATGTGAAAGAAATTGTGAAAACTGATGAACCGGTTTTAGTATGAAATGGGGTAAAAATTGAAGATTAAATATCAAGGGTAGGTGACAATTGAACTAGAATAACTAAGAATTTCATCCTCTGCAATAGAGGACAATGAATAAAGCTAAATTAAGAAAAAACTTTTCAAATAATTAGAGTTGGTTGAAAAATCAATTCAAGTTATATACCATGGGAATGGAGAATATTGATAATTGATTAATTAATTGCTGCACTAAGGAAACAAGGACAAATAAATTGCTCTCTCTAACATCAGTAAGGAGTAGTTGTGTGAAAATAAAGCCAAGAAATAGTAATCATAACCCAGCTGACAAGAAAAACAAAGAAAAGAAGCACTACATATACAGACACAGCTTGAAAATCTTACCAAACTAGTACCATAGGTCTCAGTCTTGGCATATCTTCTGGGAAAAATTCTGAAGTCAACAGCCAAGATACACAAGACAGTAATGATCATCTGCAGAAATCAAAATCTCGTATGTCCCAAAATTAAAAAGAACAAAAAAACAAAACAATTGTCCATCCAAAAATATGCAACATAAAAGCAAGGAAATTTAAGTTAGATTTAGCACCACAAGAACCCTGTACGACGAAACAATTGTCCTAAGAGAAAGTGAGCCTCCTGAATAATTAGATGTATCAGACCTACATCAAAGTGCAAAGAAATCCCAGTCAATGTGTTACTAACAAGAAGATTAATAATGCAGCACTTAAATCAAGCATTCAGGAACTCCGAAAACCAAAGAAAAAGTGAAAAAATATGTGACTTACAAGTTCTACCTTTTAGCTGCTAAAATAGAGAAGGTCAACACCATCATTGGGATCGCAAATATATAAACCCATTCTGCTAGAACCTATCATCAGTAACCAATTTATAGTTATATATATATATATATAATCCATTGGTTTAAAATCAAACATTAAAGGGAATAAAATTAAAATCTCTTGATTAAGAAAACTCACAGTTAAAGTTAAAAGCGTAGGAAGGAAAATGAAGAGAAAATCCACGGTTACAGTAGCCATGTAAGTTCCCAAACTTTTAGAGCCCATAAGGGCATTGTCATGGTCGTTTTTCTTCGTTAGTGTCTCTGTAGCATCAAAGTTGAATGAAATTAATTATTAATCAATAATAATGAAAAAATCGCATTGAAATTATTACCGGTGTTGTAATTGGAGCAGATTGAGTGTCGGAAAACAAAGAAAAGCTGCGGTGAGAAAAGAAAATGTTAGAAGGAGAGAGATCAGAGAGTGAATGATGAGATGTTAAAGAGGGAGTATGCAACATACAGGTACAACAGTGGAAATTGCGGCGATTTCCAGCATGGAAGATCCAGTCAAATTGCTTACAAATCTGATCAATCATTCAAAAAAAAAAAAATTGAGAATTTTAAATATCATTAAAGAAAATGAGACAAGGGGAAGAGAGAGGGAGATAGAGGTGTTACTGTTCTTTGAGGTGCTTGTTGGGATTGAGAGAATCCATGAGTGGAACAAAATGGAAGGATTCAAAATTTTCGTATACAAGTTGTTTGTTAATATGCGATTGAAAAAGGGAAGTCAAATCTGGAAACGTGTTAAGAGACAAGTCGAAGAGAGCTAGGAGAAAACGAATGAGTTGCAAGTTACGATGTTATTGTTGATTTCGTTTCGGAATAAGCCTACCAAAATTAAAAAGGACGTTTACAAATTAAATGAACTTTCTACCAGAATTAATAGTAACACTCTCTGGGTAATTTTTTTCAAACACTTGTTGAATAAAAATATTTATATTAAATAATAATAAATAAAAGATAACTTATGGTTTCGGAAAGTTTTTAAATTATAACTAATTTTGTATTATATAAAAAATGTTATAATTTTATATTATGTAAAAAAATTGAAAATATTATTTCTTTGTTTGTTTACTTTTAAAATTATACAAAAAGTTATGACCATGATATTTTTATTGAAAAAATGTTTAACGAAGAGTGTTAAAACAGAGTTTTATTAACACCCTTCATTTTCTATTCCTCCAACTATGAAATTGATATGTGCCTCCTATGAATTGACTAGAATGGAAGGAAAGTGAACAAACTTTAAGAAGGGGAATTTATTTATTTATTTATTTATTTATTATTATTATTATTCATTTATTTTTGGTAGGAAGTTTGAATTAAAATAAGGAAAGAAAAAGAAGGGATTTAAGTAGATAAAGAAGTTAAATTTATAGGTTTTTGTATTTTTATAAAAAATTTCCTGAAAGTGCGTTGAAGATTTGTTTGAAACCTTTCTAACATTATCCTTAAATATATTGTTAAATTTAACAACTAAATTATTATTCTCAATATTTTTTTCGAAACAATTATCAATACATTTTTCATTAATTACCAATAATTATTATATAATAATTATTAGTGGAGGTTATATTATTAATTTTTTGAAAAAATAATGATGGAAATAACAATTTAATTGATGACTTTATCGATACTCATCCTTAAAACATAAAGACAATTAACATATTTGCAAATCACA